CGCGAGGAACCGATAGTCGCGCTCGCCGGCAACGCGCGCGGCAACGACACCTGGACGCTCTGCGTCCCCGTGCCTGTCCCATCCACCCCGAACCCGACGCTCCTCGCGCTCTCCTACCTCGTCAAATACGCGACGACCGGCGACGACGGCAACGCGACTGTCCAGACCGACGTCCTCCTTACGAGCGCCACGCTGTCCGCGGGCGTCGTCCCCGGGGGCGCCCCGCTCGGCGTATACCGCCCAAGCACGGACTACGCGCCGCGCATGGTCGACGCGGCCGCTGCGCGCTGCCTCGCAACGACGCTGGCGATCAAGTGCAACGGGGGTGCCGAGCAGTGGAGCCACTTCCTCGACGTGCAGGACGTCGCGCCGAATGTGCGCGTGCGCGCTGGGGCGCAACCGTACGTGGTGTTCCATGTCGCGGAGTACCCCACTGCGCGCACGATGCGCAGCCTCGCCGTGGAGGTGTCTGCGACGTGGCAGAAGGAGGAGGTGGAGTTGAAGGCGCGCGCGGAGGCGGAGCGCAAGGCGAAGGCAGCGGAAGAGAAAGAGGCGCAGGAGGCGGCGGAGAGGAAGGCGAGGGAGGCGGACGAAAAACTGGCGAGGGACGAGGAAAGGAAGTGGAGGGAGGAAGAGCGGCAGGCCAGAAAGGAGGAAGCCCGGGAGAGAGCAGAGGCGAAACAGGCGAGAGAGGAAACTCGGAAGTGGAGGGAGGAGGAGATCCAGGCACGCAAGGAAAGAAAGGCGAGGGAAGATGAGGCGCGCGCGAGTAAACCGAGCGTCCAGGCCGCGCCCCACGTTGCAGACGACAAGACGCAGGACATGATCAAGGAGACGATGGTGAAGCTGCGCATGGAGCCATGCCCCAATGGATACCAGTTCGTGAAGGATTCGAAGGGGTATACGTGCAAGGGTGGGTCTCACCATGTTACTTTCGAGCAGCTTGGGATGAAGTGAGCTCGTCAAGATCGCCGGACTTTCCTGCCTGCCTTTCTTAATCTCGGAGATTATTTGAGCGTACCGAGGACCATCTTACCCTCTCCACGTTTACTATTATTCGCCGCTGTTCTTTCTTTTAGCTATTATTATAATAAATGAGCATCGTCCCACATAGAACGACTCGGAGCGAGAGTCAAACTCACAATGCAACACACCCGCAGCCTGCAAGAGGAACACACATAACAGAGTCTAGGGGCGACTATTGAGCCTCATTCGTGCCCTCATCAGTCTTAAACCCGAAGTCCCGCCAGTAGAGGGAAACTTGAAGGAGAACAGCGTGATTCGTTCCTCCTGAATCAGTGGTTTGCTCATCGACAGGCACCTGTTTTTTACCTGCAGACAACGTCGATCCTAGTCAAAGTCTTCCTAGCTGGGCATATGTGGTAAACGGCTCCATGGGACGATAGCGAACGGGGCGATGGAAGTGGTTGAGAGGAAGCGTCGACGGCAGTGCACCCTCTTCGGCAAGAGGCCTCTGATCTGAAGATCAGCCATACATCAGTCGTCGCGTGGCAATGATTGCCGATGCTCATGATCCCACTCCTTTTGGACACTTTTGCCCCCCTACCAGTCTACAAGAGTTTAGAGGGTAGTGGAGGCCCCCAGGAGGTGTTGTAGAAGTGCTTGTGCGATGATGACATGTCTCGGACAATCTTCCAAATCTGGGGAGGGGGGGTCTCCTCACGTGTACATATCAGTGTGGTCGATAACTTAACGAGATCTGGCGCCTCTTGCTCTTCGGTCGGACCGTTCTTCCGACGTGCTGCCGGCGGTTCGACTCTGCCCTAGGGCAATGCCGGGTTTTGGCAATGGCTTTCGGCCGGTAGGTATAAATAATGCGCGGTTATTCCGTCTGACAGCGGGCGACAGGAATTTTGAGCGACAAGTTCAAGACGCCTACTGCTGGCTCGCCGACACTTCTTTATTTCGTTTCTTCAATTTCCTCGAGCGCATCGAGGGATGTCACAAGTAGACCAAGGACGATAGCACCTTCAAAGCATACCTTCCTACAAAATTCAAAGCATAAAGCTAATAGCTAGGAAGCGTAATTCTGTGCCCATCCATAAGCGAGTTATATCGCGCATGCATGCATGCACGTCTACAGCGCCCTCGGAGGCTTGCGCGGACGGGGCGCTGGACGCTGGCCCCACACGCATTGCCGTACGCTGGCCTCGTAGCCGTGCGCGCTGGTGTTGCGCAGCCGAGGACGTGCGCCTCTGATACGTCCACGTCCGTAGTCGACGTGCACGCAGGACGCCGCTCGACTTGCACGCAGCACCGGACGTCGCTCGCCGGCTCCTCACCGGCACCACCCACCCGCGGAGCTGGGGCTCGAGCGCGGGCCCATCTATAACGCTCCTGCAGACCACATAAATAATCTCCACACCATAACACGCCCCACCCGACCGAGCTGGCGCGTTACACCCTAAGCGCGAGCTTGCGCGCACTTGCACGGAGGAGAGACGCCCTGCCGCCGCTACAGCCGTCGTGGGGAGCGGGGAGGTGGGCCGCAGCTCGGGCTTACAGGGCGAGGACGGGCGCCCCGTAACGGAGGAGAGGCGCCCCGCCCGGGCTGGGGCGGCGGGGCAGAGACGGGGGACATAGGCTCGAGTTTGCGGGTGGCGAAGGGGGAGAACGAGAGGTAAGAGGGCGGGAGGGGTTGTGGCGGGGACGGGGAGGACGGGGACATGGGGGATGCGACGGCCTTATCGGTGAGGTAGCCCGATCGGGCGCAGAGTCGACGAGGGAGGTACATACTACAGCGGGGCGCGCAGGGGATGACGGTGAAGCTGAGGACGCTGCAGATGGAGACCCCTTCGGCGCCAGCGGAAGCGCATACACCGGCGGCCTCTCCTCTTGCCCGCTCCTTCCCCTCGTCGTCCCCGGTGTCGTCGTCCGAGGCGTCCTTCTCTCGATCTCCACCTCCACATGATTAATCAGCATATAATTCTTATTCGTCTTCCGCTTATTTCCCTCCTTACCCCATTCCGTGTTATTTAGTTCCGGGGGAGGCAGCTGCAGCGCGGGCATCGCCTTGCGCACTCGAGCCGCTCATGCTGCGCGCATGCAGTCGTACGCGCTCGAGCCGAAGAGGCGGCCGCCTCGGCGGCGCGGTAGGTGTGCGGTGTGCGTAGCCCACCGCGCGGGCCGGGGACGGAGTTACCCCCCGTCGACGCCGCCGCGCCGGTGGAGTTTGCGGTGGAATTGGGGGAAGAGGACGTGGGCGACGGCGATGAGAGCAGCGGGAAGGCGAACGCGAGCGCGGGGCCGCGGCGAAGGGCGTCTGTGGGGCCGAGGCGGGCGGAGAGGTGGGCGTCGGGCGCTGCGAGCCGATGGGCGAGCGAAGGTGTTGCCTGGGCGTTGGTGATGTCAACGGCTGCGCCGCGTGCGATGCGCCGCCCGTCCACGTCCTGCCGCATTGCCCTCGCGACCGCCGCGCCGCACGACCCCTCCTCCTCACGATAGACCAATTCACGCGCGGCATCACATGCCGCACGCGCATCCCGCGCCCTCCGCCTCCGCCCCTGGCGCATGGCGGACGTCTGTATGCTTCTGCTCGCCGACGAGGGCGCTCACCGTCGCGCTCGAGCCCGCCGCGCTCCGCTCGCCCCCGAGCCCAAGTGGTCTGCCTTCGCCGCGATCGCAGGAGGGACTGGTTCAGTCCTTCAGCTCCAGGAGCTCCCTGTATACGGCGAAAAAAAAGTCATAATAAGTATCGCAAACACTTCTCGAGTGGGACTCAAACTCACAAGGCACTCACTGCGGAGAATTCGATGCTTGGAGACATACGCAGTCCGTCCGGGAGGCGCGTGGTGCGCTCAGCCCCGTCCAAGTCCATCGGAGAGCCGATTCCGAATCTCTGGAGCAAAAAAAAAACAAGCCATATCGCTCAGTGTTCGCATTTTTCTCTTGGTTTTCCTCGCAGAGAGTTGTTCCTAAGGTGTTCACAAAAGGTGGGGTCTTGTGCATTTGGGCGGCGTCTCCGTGAGACGAGCGAAGGGATAGCCATACGGATGTTGGAAGTCAAAGACCAAGCCACGTCAGTGGCAGTGCATTCAGACTTTGCTTCCGACGTTCACAACATTTTTCCGCTTTTTTTTGAAGACTCAGCTGCAGCTTATGAGCTTCGCCACTCATGCAGCTAATAGGCATGCTGAACCAGTCCATGCCGTTTGCCACCGCCGATTATTCACCAGCTCGTTTGGCCAACTGCAAGGTCTTCAACATCTCGCATGCCAGTGCCGGCCCTAGCTACTCCCTAGCTCGTTTGCGAATGGATATACTCTGACGCATCTCGTGCTATTTTCCGTGAAGACTCTGATTTGGTGCCGACCGACGTCAGTCCACGAGGAAGGCTTTACAAGCGCAACGCAGGCCGTGCAGGCCATGCGTTTTGACCAATGGCTCTGCGCGTGCACTACCCCCGCCCCGTTCCACGTCTCTATGGTGCGAGCGACTCCCGTCAATTTGGCCCTCGCGCGCCTCTTGTTGAACCCATTCCTTTGAGCTTCAAGTTCAACTCAACAATCAAGTTCCAAGTTCAAGTTCCAACCGCATGACGGACGCACCCTGTACACTACATAGTTCATCCTTAGCAAAATGTTGTCCTGGTGTAACGGTTGCCCGCATCGAATAATACTGCGTCAGTTGGGTGATTTCGGATGCGGTCGGTGGTTCGACTCCGCCCTAGGACACTTTCTAGTCTCTCTAGACAGACGCTTGATTGGTTTCTAACTCGTTCCTCGTTCCAATCAAGACACTTTCCACTCCCGAGATTTTTCTTCTTCTTTTAATTTCCCCCTTTCGGCTATGATTTTGGCACACGATACGCTTCTCCTTATGTTCGAAGTTCATGTTCTCGAAGAAAGATGTGGTCTAGAGTCTAACACGAGCGTATGTAAAACTTGAAGAGTTTCAGCTTGCAGAATCAACATCAGCCGACAAACGAGGATACATCCTCCTTAGACTCTCTACCGCACATTCTTCCTCCAGAAAATATCGTCCTGGTCTAGTGGTAGGCCGCGCCGCACAATGCGGTCTTTCGAGTTGTTTCGGGTGCGGTCGGTGGTTCGACTCCACCTCAGGACATAGCCCTTAGGTGTATTCATCTTTTTTCCATTTCCTTCTTTAGGGCGCACATAATTGGTTGACGCTGATAAGCCTCTTCTCAGCAAAGTTTCAGGTTTCGGCCAGAGGATCCCGGGAATCCAGCACTAGCCTGAAAAAGGTAGGTATCATAGAGTTTCGACCTTCAAAATCGACATCAGCCGATAAATGGCCCGGGGGACGCATCCACTCCTCCACCACACATTCTCTATTTAAGTACTGTCGTCTTGGTATAACGGTAATCTGCGCCATGCAATAACTCTGTCTTGATGATTGAGGTGCGGTCGGTGGTTCGACTCCACCCCGGGACACTTGTCCATTGGGAATAACCTTTTTCTTCAACTTCAGAAAATTTTAAATCAGCTGTTGCGCGTCCCAGATATACTCATCCATACCTCTACATCACATATTTCACACTAGAAGAATGTCGTCCGGGTCTAGTGGTAAGCCGCGCCACACTATCAAGCTTTTGATAAGTTTCAGGTGCGGTCGGCGGTTCGACTCTGCCTCAGGACATGCCTTGGATTTATGGCATTTTTTACTCGGAGCTCTGTTTTTTTACGACAGGAACAATTTGGAATTTTGGACCGTAGAGCGGGGTGCTGCCTGTCCCTCATCGATTATGGTTGAATTTCCCCTCGGGCCGTCGGACTTATACTCGATTGTTCTCATGGCTGACCTAGAACAGGGTCACGATACGCGATGGCTGAACATTACGACTTTAACACGCGCGACGAATACGGTATGTGGGGGAAGGTAGAGTTCTTGGCGATGTACCTATATTGTTGTTTTATTAAATTCTAACCGCGGAAAGTCCCTACCCTAGCGATAACCGGTCCATGTTAAAGGGAAGAAAAATTCATAACTCGCAGAGCAGTATGTAGTACGACAGCAAGTGTTACAATAGTCATTCTATTCAGTTTCCGAGCCAGAGTCATCCTCTGACTCATCCTCTAATCCATCATCCAAAGGACGGCAACCGCCAGTTGTCCCACTCTCAACCTGCTCTGGATATTCACCGTCGTCGATGTTGAAAACGACGCATTTAGACAAGAATAGCTTGAAAAATTTCCACTTGTAAAAAAAACCTAGGTTACCCAGGAGGAGCGAGTCGCATTCTCCATTCCGTGAACATGTTTTGAATACTAAGGCCCTCCGGGTACCCCCTGGTACCTCCGCCTAGACCGGAGCCTTTGGACTATACATTATTCAAGTTATTCGGAATCTGAAGCTTGTTCGCAAGTCTCGGCCTCCTCGCCTCCTCGCGCGCTACCCAGAATAAGGTCATCCATATTACAGCCTCATCTTTTTGCTCTTCGTAATCAATTCATAATTGTTCATCTCTAAATTTGCTATGCTGCCATTTCACGACCGAAATTTTCATGGAGGCGAGTAGACCAGGGAGTGAGAGGTAAGTGAGAGGGGCTCTTAACGGAGGAAAAGTGGGGCAAACGACAGGAAAGGCCTTGACGTATGCGGTAGCAAACAGCTATATTCAAGAGAAATAGATGCTTGAAGATTGAAGCTTGAAGCTTGAGGGACATATATTGAGCAAGCCAGACACCGGGCCCACGATCGGACAGATCAGAAATCGACTGCTCGTGTTTGAGACCTGGTACCTCATCCGGTACCAGGAACTATGGTCAACTCATTTGTACGTACTGTCAGAAATAGAACGAGCCGTCCACAATGATAATTTGCGGTATCACCGGGATGTCAGACTTACATGCATTATCTCCGAGTCGTGTCGTGGAAGGACGTTCCTGCCGTAAAGATAAATTAACGTGTTCGAACAAATTACTTCACGGATTCATCTCGAACTGTGCAGTTCTAGGTTACGCACCTTCATGTGAAGCAGCCCGAAATCGGTTGCAAGCAAGAGCAACGCGTAGACGAAAACCGAACACTCTTATATCTGTTCTCTTCGAGTCTAAAGTGGATCGGCGTAGCGAAGGCCTAAGCAGCTGCCGCGCGCGCGCTCATTTCTGACCCTGGGGCCTGAATTCCACGCCAGGGTCCACCGGCACTGGACACCTCCGGCCTTGAATGAGCTCCAATCTTTGTGAGCTTTGATGTGGCCCGCGGCGTGATGGATTAAATCGTCAATATATTATTATATAACATAACAGGAAGCACGATGACGCTCACATAATGCCACCCATCTGCGAGGAATATCGTGATGTGCAAAGACGAACGTGATGCGCGATATCCGGAGTTAAAACTCGTTGCAGTTGAGGGTATGTATCAGATTAATTATTCACGTTATTCCTGTTATTCCTGGAGAGTGTGGTAAGTGCATCGAGCCCCGGGGCAACTTGGAGTATAAAACATAGGCCAGAATTCTGCGAGATACATACCTCAACTTGCCCACCAGCGAAACATGTCCGCGAGAACTCACCAAGCTCCACTTGCAGCCATCGCTGCAACAGCGTGCACGCACCATCACGCTGCTTTTCCAGCATTTCCCTATTCATCGTTTCCCGCTGCACCCGCTGCAGCGGCGCCCATTTGCATGACTGCACGCCACTGCCAGTCTCCGGCCATCGTCCCCAGTGGCCAGACACTCGCTCGCTCTTTCCCAGTCCTGGCGGCGAACGGAGACGGCACGTTCACCAGCTACCCGCCCGAGCACGCAGACGACGCAGACGAAGCGCTGCTGCACACCTACGCGTCGTTCCGCGAGGAACCGATAGTCGCGCTCGCCGGCAACGCGCGCGGCAACGACACCTGGACGCTCTGCGTCCCCCTGCCCGTCCCATCCACCCCGAACCCGACGCTCCTCGCGCTCTCCTACCTCGTCAAATACGCGACGACCGGCGACGACGGTAACGCGACCGTCCAGACCGACGTCCTCCTTACGAGCGCCGCGCTGTCCGCGGGCGTCGTCTACGGGGGCGCCCCGCTCGGCGTGTACCGCCCAAGCACGGACTACGCGCCGCGCATGGTCGACGGTGCTGCCGCGCGCTGCCTCGCAACGACATTGGCGGTGAAGTGCAACGGGGGTGCCGAGCAGTGGAGCCACTTCCTCGACGTGCAGGACGTTGCGCCTAATGTGCGCGTGCGCGCTGGGGCGCAACCGTACGTGGTGTTCCATGTCGCGGAGTACCCCACTGCGCGCACGATGCGCAGCCTCGCCGTGGAGGTGTCGGCGACGTGGCAGAAGGAGGAGGTGGAGTTGAAGGCGCGCGCGGAGGCGGAGCGCAAGGCGAAGGAAGCACAAGAGAAGGAGGCGCAGGAGGTGGTGGAGAGGAAGGCGAGGGAGGCGGACGAAAAGCTGGCGAGGGACGAGGAAAGGAAGTGGAGGGAGGAAGAGCGGCAGGCCAGAAAGGAGGAAGCCCGGGAGAGAGCCGAGGCGAAACAGGCGAGAGAGGAAACTCGGAAGTGGAGGGAGGAGGAGATCCAGGCACGAAAGGAAAGAAAGGCGAGGGAAGATGAGGCGCGCGCGAATAAACCGAGCGTCCAGGCCGCGCCCCACGTTGCAGACGACAAGACGCAGGACATGATCAAGGAGACGATGGTGAAGCTGCGCATGGAGCCATGCCCCAATGGATACCAGTTCGTGAAGGATTCGAAGGGGTATACGTGCAAGGGTGGGTCTCACCATGTTACTTTCGAGCAGCTTGGGATGAAGTGAACTTCTCGTCAAGATCGCCGGACTTTCCTGTCTGCTTTTTTTTATCTCGGAGATTATTTGAGTGTATCGAGACCCATTTTACCCTATCCACGTTTACTATTATTCGCCGCCGTTCTCTCTTTTAGCTATTATTATAATAAATGAGCATCGATATCATCCCGAATGCAACGACTCGGAGCGAGAGTCAAACTCACAAGGCAACACTAGTGAGGAACACGTCACAGAGTATAGGTGTGCCTATGCAGCCTCGTTTGTCCCTCTTCAGTCTCAAAACCGAAGTCCTACCAGTGGAGGGAAACTTGAAGGAGAACACCGAAATTCGTCCCTCTTGATTTCCTCCGACAGGCACGAAGGTGCCTGTTTTTTACCTGCAGACAATGTTGGATCCAAGTCAGAGTCTTCCTATCTGGCCAAATACATATGTGGTAAACGGCTCCGTGACGATTGAGCCGGGCGATGGAAGTGGTTGAGAGGAAGCAGCGCCGGTGGCAGTGCCACAGCCATCGGTCCGCTCTTCCGACATCTTCGGACTTGCGTCCGGCGGTTCAAAGACTCGAACCAAACTCCCAACACGTTTTTTTATTCTGCCACGTATGGTCCATTCTGAACCTGGGTTTGCATTCGGCCGGCATCCGCGAAATATCCAGGCGGCCCGATACAGTCCGTTACAAAATTGATTCAAGGCCAACTTGGGCCACGGACGCATGCTGTCCAATAAGCCATACATATGGCGGTCCAAATGCACTTTTTATTCGAGCGAAACTTTTTTGGGTTTTGCGAAACTTATATCGTGTTTTTGTGCTTTTGCAGAACTTTTATTGGGCTTTGCGCATGCTAAATAAGTTTCGCAAAAAGTGCTATTCAGCGAAACATATATTCGGCCGAACTTGACTCGCGAAACTTTTATTACCCGAAGTCACACAAGCGAAACTTTTATTTGCCGGAGGACTTGGCAAAACTTTTACGAGCTTGCGAAACTTATTCGCGGTTTTGGACTTGTCAAAATTTACACAATATCAAGGTCCAAAAAAAATCTTGATTGAGCTATAGAAGGCTATATAAGGCTATGCTAGTCTCCCATGCCGGGCTCGGCATCATCGTCCTCGCAGGCCTTGGGTGCGAAGCGGCCGGAGGAGGAGCGCGGCACTGGTTACGGGCTTCCGGTGGCACGGCGCTGCGTGCTCGGTGATTACGGGAGACTACGATAGCCTTATATAGCTCAATCAAGATTTTTTTTTGACCTTGGATATTGTAAATTTTGACAAGTCCAAAACCGCGAATAAGTTTCGCAAGCTCGTAAAAGTTTCGCCAAGTCCTCCGGCAAATAAAGTTTCGCTTGTGTGACTTC